TGACAACTTACTTAAATCTCCAGTATCAGATGAATAAATTAAAGTAGAAGATTGCCGATTTAAACACGCGGGAATTTTAGCCGAAGTGTCTTCTACTCTGGGATGATGCTGTGTATTTTCAACTTTTTGAGGCACATACCTAGTGTTTCCACTGTTATAACTTTGCTGTACCTTATTTGGTTTAACAGTGTTACTATGATCAATTTCTTGAATTGTTTTGTTCACAATGACATTTTTTTCTATTAATTTGAATACATAATAACATTATAATTTAAATTATATAAATAAAATTATTTTAATTTATTACTCAGTGGTTCATTATTATTTGCTTTATTGTTTCCATTAGATAAATGCCTACGTTGTTCCATTTCTGCTTTCTTCAGAAAATCTCCATGATACTCAGCATTACTAAAAAATAACAAAATAATAAAATTTCATGATTAAAAAAATTATGTTCATAACTAAAACTACTTATACAACCTTATGTTTTTGGAATTAGCTTTTATTCTCAATGTTTCTGGGTCATCTGCAACTTGTGTTAATTTTCCTTTAGTCTTTTCAAACTCAGCATGATATTGCGCCTATGAAATATAAAATATATAGATATTATAGTTTAAATTTTTATTATTTGTAATACTGCAAATATAGAAAAATAAAATAAATACTTCTATATGCAATAGAATAAAAATATAAATAATCTAGTGATTCTACATTTTCAGGAAAAATTAGATTCATTAAATATATAACTATTCAAACAAAAGTAATTAATTAATATAATTACATTTTATGTTTTACAATATAACTACGTTACTACTTTTAAGTAAAACATAATATCTATCTATACTTCATTTAAACTACATTTTCAGACACTAATTTTGAAACACTTACGGCAAGTTGTCTATCCATTAAGATGGCATGAAATAATGGTTTTCATAAAATAATAATTGAAACATTTTTTTCCAATAACTTAAATTTAAAATCTTTAATGTTTAAATATGCTTACATTTGATTGTAATCTTGTATTTTCAGCAATTCTTTTTAACTCCGGTGTTTCAGCTACAGTTGTGTGTTTTGCTTTTGGAATATGTCTAAAACACGTTTTGCAATTAATTGGTTAATTATGTAAAATAGACATTAGACATGCAGTCAATAATATCAAAGACAAGAGTGATGGGATTCCTCTAATTTCTTTAGGACAATTTTCAAAAAAAAAAATTATGGATCTTTTAATGTTGTAGTTTTTAAAAACAGTTTATTTYAAACTAAGTAAAACATTTGATTAAAATGTAAGAGTTAATTTTGAAACCAGTAAATATTAGATATTAATGCTAAATAAATACCATTGAATATTAACAAGTATATATTGTATTATTGACTAACTTATGAATATTTATAAAAATATGGATTTTTTTTTGGTAGAGGCCAGAGGCACAGCCCCCAAGACTTTGTATTGATTATTTTTATAGCATGATAATTGGAAAAATTATCCTCTTTTTGAATTCTACTTATATCAGCTACTGATAGCCAAAATCACAAAATTATAAAAAACTGTTATAAATTATAGTTGTTGAACAGTTGAACTCCTTTTYCAGTTAATTCTTTTATAATATTTGCCAAAAAACTTTTAACACTCCTATTATGTAATACCAAAAACACTAATAAACAAAAATGTTTGAATCAAAAATTGTCTATGGCCACTAAAGAATATTATATTATGTTAGGTACTAAAAAAAATATATATATATCAAATGATTTTTTTGATTAATTAAGATTATTCTATGTCTGGAACAGTTCATAGATTTTAATTTTAACTGATTGAATATATCAAAATATTTTACTGTTCTTGCTTATTAATTTATTCCTGCCATAAAACAATAATGTGTTAATGTTATATTATAATATAGGTGTAAATGCAATCTTTATTTACTTATATAGATAAGTTTTTATGCACACTTTATACACCAGTTCAATGACAAAATAAATGTAAATAGATTTTAACTAGACAAAATATTCACTAAACAATACTTATACTATACATATTTAATGTTTAAAACAATAAAAATATATATTTTACAAACATATTATGTAAAAAAACAGACTGCATAACTATAAATAAAATTGGTAGGTGGTATAGTATTATATTACTGCTATTAAAATATTATGTAATTAAAAGATTAGTGTAGTTACACTAGTACATATTTTGATATCTTTGTGACCAAAAAATAACAGCCTTCAGTTGTAGCTTTATTTATACAATTATGAACATGATTGTATATTATGTAATATGATCAATATACATCGGATTTGTTATACTGTCATTGTAAAATCAGTTTATTAAAACCACAGATTGAGAAATATTAAGTAAGTTTAAAATATAAGAACTATAAAAAGTAATAAACCAATAAAATTAAAATTTTAATAATTTGAGATTTTTTTAATATTCAAACATCATCTAGGTATCTTTTAAGTTTTATATGCAAACATTTTTACTAATACAATTAGATTACAATAATTTTGACAAAAAAATGTGTAAGTAAATGCATTGATCAGAAATGTATTTGTTTTATTGTATACCAAATACTATTTCCATGAATATATAATTTCACAAGGTTACCAATTATTTCAAACCTAACACACTTATCTATTAAATGTTTTATTTACAACTACTAAACTGAGAACACTAAAATATCCAAAAAATGTACATATCATACTTTTTTTAAATTAATTTGGCTATGCAAATAGTAGTTTTAAATTTTCTCAGTTAAACTGATAATAATTTAATATTATAATATTTATTTAATGTAATAAATTAATTCCAATTGAAAATAAACCCCCAAATGAACCTAATGTTTAATAATCTAATTATTAATTACCAACAATCAATGAAAATACTTAAATATATATATTAATTAAATTTAACATGTTTTACTGGTTTTTTAATAAGCATAAAAATAAGTTTAAGTCAAGGAACCCAGATACTTGGTCATATATTTTTATGTAGATTCATACAAGGCTATGTTTAAATTTTAAATTTTAATGACATACAACCTAACTTTGTATAAAGCTTTAACATTAACGCACAGAAGAATAAGTCTAAGATGGAACTAGTAATACTTGTCATTAAATTTAATAATTGATTGATTAAATCATAACTTATACTTGAAATAGATTAAAGACATTAATTATAAAGCTTAAATTCATAGCAACAATTTCAATWAAAAAAAAAACTTATAGTGCTTAAGCTATGCATTTTCTCATTTAAGTTTTTTTTAAAGAAGTTTTTGAATTATGAATACAAACAATATTTGAGGATGCTAATTTTAAAATTGAGGGTGATAATACCCTCTAAACCCCCTCTCATTTAAATTATATTTAAGTACCTAAAACAAATTAAATTAGGCTTATGTTAAATAAATTAATGCAAGCTATATTATTAT